TGTAATAATGACCTATCAAAGAATTTTTCTTCCATGCAAGATACGCTCTATTCACTCTGATTGTTTTTCATAGAAAAAGAAAAACGTCTGGTTCACTTCTTCTTTTTTTTCAGTGCTTCCGTCTCTCATCTCCTCATGACAGCTAGTCAAATTTTCCTAATTCTCCTTCCAAACGAAATTCCAAACGATCGAGCACAATGCGATTCCTGCTGAAATGTGCAATTCCGTGTGATTTTATAATTTGGTGCAATAAAGTCAAAAGAGAATGAGCAAAAAAATCTAATGAACCCAATTGAACGACAACTAACTGATCGTGAGATGGATGGATGCTGCGTTGCCACTTAACTGATGGTGAATCAATAAGAAAACGACTTTGCTTCAGTTGAAATATTTCAGCAATTATTTTGATTTTATTTATTTGCCGATTGAATTGCACTCAAAATCAAAACTGATCACACTCCTAAACCATCTTCTATAATATGTGCTCGAACGAACGTTCTCAAGGGGTCCGTCAATTCGTCAAGACAACGAAAGCAGTCGGCCATTATTCATTCATCCAATGACAGTTATCACCCGGTATATCTGCTTTTTCGATCGCAATATTCCCTTGGTTGCGCGTTAAAATGTTGCTTAGCAATTCAATATTTCGATATTGATGGCTCACGATCATTGCTCTTGATCGAATGTTTTTGAAAGTTTATGGATTTATCGCTGCCCTCCTCTGGTTTCTTTCTTGTTTTCAATCTGACAGCTTCGATTGACATGTGAGAAAATGCTCGCACATTAAACGTTCACATACCAAGGCAATGCTACATTATTGTTCATGATCATATGAATGTCTGATGCAAAAAAAATATTATAGTCATGAGCAATGTTGAACATCATGAACGTAACGAGCGTATCATGCAAGAGCTTTTTCTCCTTTCATTCCATCGCTCATTCCTGCAAGGCCGCCTATGAAATGGTTCATTTGATATATTCTTGATGAGTTGTGTGCCAGAGATATCTTCATTTCATTCTGTGTGGCTCTTCTTGAGCATAGCAGATTTTCACATAGCTGACTCTTGTCTTGAATTTTCATTGATGTTTTCGTTGTATTTCTCAGCAAAATAATTTCTCAGATAATCCGAAATAGCAATAGATTTGATTCAATTCGTATGGCATGTCTTATGCTCAATTCTCATACTGCCTGAATTATTCTGGATTGTTCAGGCTATCAAACGTGTTTGCAACGTTGCTGGTCACAATGCGCGCTATGTTTCCGTTTGCACTGTTTTAGCCTTACTTGATTTCAGCCACCCCGCTGGCTAGACGAGCAGGCCACATATATTCTCATATATCTGAACAGGCCAACTCTCATAAATATTCCGAAATTTTCGATTAACTTTCAGCGAATCTTGTGTATCGAAAAAGGTTCGTGTTCCACCGTCATCGACAAAGAAACGACCACCCGAGCCAATAGAATCGTCTACGGCTGTCGAGTTGAAGATAGCATCAAAGAAAGCGGAGCAGCAATCCGAGACAGCCCAAACACGTTTCAAAACAAAAGCGTTAGTTCTTGTTCTATTATCATTGACTGGTCGGATGCGATAAGGCGGCGGTAGGTGACGAATATGGATATCTCACCAAAAATTTGCGAAGAAATTACGGCTAGAGAGCC